CTCAATAAATCGCTTTTAGAATGACATTTGCCAAGTCTATAATGACTCATATTTATAAAATAAGGAAAACTTTTTAATTACGGTTACATTTTTCTAATTAAATTCAGTTGATGAAAATGGCGTTTTTTATCTCGAACATCCGTGTTTGTCTTTGGCCACATGCTAATGCAAACATGTTCTACGATTATAAACAATGTGTCCAGTGACACACCTTTGGGTGAAATCTATCAAAGGTAGCTAGATAAAGCTCCATGACTCACCTCAGAAGAGAAGCAATGTTACCTAAACTGTAAAAGACTGCAAACAGTGTCAGTCCTTTTCCCGGGACCCAAAGCAAGCAGGTCCCCTGAAAGACAAAATACTTTTGACTATAACATGCATCTAAAAAAAGACAAAATAACAGTACATGTGTGCGGTATTCTTACCAAAATCGAGCACAAGACGCCCGACACAAAACACGCGAGGAATCCCTTGACGCGCGTGCCCCATCCCAGTGTTGATGCTTCATTCGCCGACTTGTTACGTTACGTTATTACATGTTTATGGAAATACATTCACCAAAAACAGAAAATGAGCAAGTTGATATGCATAAACAGGCAGATATTAAACTTAAGCGAATGAAAGTAAACACAACAAATACTAAGTCTATAGTCTCGAATTCAAGAAGATAATTCAGTACTGTGTATTGTTCAAAGACTCAAATAACGTTAGACTTAATATCGATTTCAGCACTTGGTCCAGCCAACTGTCAAATACAACTACCTGCAGTACGTTGAGGTCGTCATTGCCATCTTGGCCGCTTAAAACTTTCTTTAATTTGTCCATTAGGCTTCAGATTAACGGTTTTAATATAAAACAGTCCAATAATGTGTTTTGAGTTGAAAAATAGCTGTCGCGAAGATACTTCGTGTAAGTAAATACGTATTGATTCGTTCCCTTTCCTGTTTGAAAGTGTAACAGGTGCATGAGATAACTTCCGCGTGTAGCCACGGCAACGATTGTGTGACGTCATTACGTTGGACGCCTGAATCAACTGAGAGCAACAAAAGGTCTCCGGGCTACAGCAATACATGCTTGGCAAAATGCTCGCTAGCTTATATTTAGTCTTACATATTCTCTAATTATATATTATATAACCATCGATGGGAAAAAGTAAGCATCAAGATGTAGACAACACACGCAGACAAGATAAGTTTTTAAAGAATTCATAATTAAGTATTTACATAAATACTCAAAAATATATTTGACTTTTGACCAGGGGTGCCCAAACCTTTTTCCTATGATGGGCCAAAAAACAAGCTTGATTGAGGGTGGTGGGCCGAAGCTATATCATTCATTCATTCATTTTAATTTCGGCGTAGTCACGTTATTAATCTGGGGTCGCCACAGCGGAATGAACCACCAATGTTTTTACACTGTGGATGCCGCCCTGCTGAAAAATCCAGCCTAAACCAGCTTAGGCTGGTTGGCTGGTTTTAGCTGGTTGACCAGCCTGGTTTTAGAGGGGTTTTGGCCATTTCCAGGCTGGTCTTAGCTGGTCAGGCTGGAAAATGACCAGCTAAATCCAGCTAAAACCAGCTTGACCAGCCTGGTTTAAGCTGGACATAGCTGGTTTTGGCTGGGCTCCCAGTCTGGCTAGGCTGGTCAAGCTGGTTTTAGCTGGTCATCTCCCAGCCTGACCAGCTAAGGCCAGGCTGGAAATGGCCGGAAACCAGCCTGGAAATGGCCAAAACCCCTCTAAAACCAGCCTGGCTGATCAGCTAAAACCAGCCAACCAGCCTAGGCTGGTTTAAGCTGTTTTTTTTCAGTAGGGAGCTGCAACCCATCACTGGGAAACATCATACACTCTCATTCACACATACGGACAATTTATCTTTCCCAATTCACCTATACCACATCTTTGGATATGGTGGAAACCAGTGCACGCAGAGGAAACCCACGCCAACATGGGGAGAACATGCAAACACCACACAGAAACGCCAACTGACCCAGCTGAGGCTCGAACCAGCGACCTTCCTGCTGTGAGGTGATCATGCTACCCACTATGCACCACTTTGACATCAGAAGTTAAATATACCAAACTATAAAATGTAAACATTACAGTTGCCATTTTAACTTCCGAATTTAATAATAGTAAAAAATATAAAGAAAAAAAATAGTTTATTCATATTAATAATTTAATATATATATATTCTTTTTACATTTTATAATGTACATCTTACAATAAAAACATTAACAGTCTCATTTATTATAACACAATGGAGTTCTTTATTTACAAAAATAATAAATTTTCCTCCGACAGTGAACAATATGTGTCCTGTTTTAAGCAACATATAAATCCAGGCCCAAAGCCAGTGGGGGTTCAGGTGGTCTGGAAGAGCCACCCCTCACCTACAACGGTCTAGAATTTATCCCATTCATGAGCTGTTTTGTCCTATTTTGACTGCTATGCCATAGTAAAATAGTAAAAATAACCCATCGAAAAACACTTTAAGACCAAGCGGAATCCTGGTTTGACTTCAGTTAATCAGTTTTGGCCAATGCAAACATTTACTTTTTTTCTAATTAATCTTGGACCTTAATCTTGAAAGTAAACAGGACCAAAAAAAAACAAACACTTTTACAAGAGAGACTTGAAAATTTGTGAAGCTCTAAATAATTATTATTATTGTTTTAATTTTTTATTATTTAAATTCAAAATCCGGGCGAAGCTGTGGCGCAGTAGGTAGTGCTGTCGCCTTGCAGCAAGGTCGTTGGGTCGCTGGTTCGAGCCTCGGCTCAGTTGATATTTCTGTGTGGAGTTTGCATGTTCTCCCTGCTTTCGCGTGGGTTTCCTCCTGGTGCTCCGGTTTCCCCTACAGTCCAAAGACATGCGGTGCAGGTGAATTGGGTAAGCTAAATTGTCTGTAGTGTACGAGTGTGTGTGTGTGTGTGTGTGGATGTTTCCCAGAGATGGGTTGCGGCTAGAAGGGCATCCGCTGCGCAAAAACTTGCTGGATAAGTTGGCAGTTCATTCCGCTGTGGCGACCCCAGATTAATAAAGGGACTAAGCCAACAAGAAAATGAATGAATGAATGATTCAAAATCCAAATTCTGACAGAGGAAAGTTGAATGTGCTGGCCAGGGGTGTTTCCCAAAACCATCGTTAGCCAACTGAGGTCGCAAGTTCCGTAGTTACAAACATAGTTCATTGATTTGACATTTCCTAAATCTATCGTTCAAACGAATACTCGCAAACTGCGTCACAAACTTGTGCACTTGCAACTACACCTCTAGAGCTGTAGTTAGAAACATAGTTCCTGGCTGTGTTTTATTCCCAGTTATCCCCCCATGCCCTGCTCATTTAGAACATTCTAACATTTAAACTTGGAATTATTAAAATAAAGCATTAAAGTCATCACTCTTAGGTGTAATTTGCTTTTGAAGTATTTTTTACAGTTTAGTTTTAGTGATCTTTATGTTTACAATTGCGCTCCCTTTGCAGTGCACTTTGAAAACATTGATGTCATTTTGAACACAGCCGTGGCTCATGACAGAAGTTATAGATGACCTATTATTTAAAAGCGGGATTTATGTCTCAAAAGCTTGTGAAAACAAAAAAACACAGCATACATTAATGCTTTTCATTTATAGTAGGTTATTTATTAAGTATTTGTACTGTATATGACATGGGCCTGCTGGTTTGAACATTTCTGCAGTGGTGTGCATGTCAAATTGTAAACGTATGCTTTAAAAAAAAAAAACAATATCCTACCTAAAAATCATCATCGTCATCATTAATATTATTATTTAAGTAGGATTTTTTTCATTTTCTAAAAAAATAATAAATATTAAATTAAATTTTAGGCAATGCAGTGGTGCAGTAGGTAGAGCTAACACCTCACAGCAAGAAGGTCGCTAGGTCACTGATTCGAGCCTTGGCTCAGTTGGCATTTCTGTGTGGAGTTTGCTTGTTCTCCCTGCGTTCGTGTGGGTTTCCTCCGGGTGCTCCGGTTTCCCCCACAGTCCAAAGACATGCGGTACAGGTGAATTGGGTAGGCTAAATTGTCTGTAGTGTATGAGTGTGTGTGTGTGTGTGGATGTTTCCCAGAGATGGGTTGCGGCTGGATAGGCATCCGCTGCGTAAAAACGTGCTGAATAAGTTGGCGGTTCATTCCGCTGTGGCGACCCCAGATTAATAAAGGGACTAAGCCGACAAGAAAATGAATGAATTAAATTTTTTAATAAATCGCCTCATCACCTTTGTTTATTTATATAATGTATATATGATATTATAATACGTGTTAGCTTATGTAACTTTGTTTTAGATTAGAATATGTAATGTTCTCAATAATATTTCAAAAGCAAACATAGGCCCTATATGTGTCATTTACATATATTTCAAGTAGTATGGAAAGCAAGTGGATGTTTTCACAAAAAAAAAAAAAAAAAAAAAAAAAAAAAAATATATATATATATATATATATATATATATATATATATATATATATATATATATATATATATATATATATATATATATATAATGCGTTTGCATGTAAAATAACATAATTTGCACAAAGAAATTATGGGGTTCTGCTCCAAAGAAGTTGTTACTCCAGCCCGTTTAGAGCATCATTGTGGGCGTTTTACGTTATAACTAATGTGATTCAAACGATGGATCTGTGACAGAGAAACTACTGGTTTTGGGAAAAACTCGTCACTACATCGTTATTTTCCCAAACGATGCATGGTACTATGATAGTTCAGCTGCGTGTTACGTCATTGTTTGGGAAACGCACCACTGATTGGTTGGTCAAATCAAAGGTTACCATGGGCCAACTTTGGCACGCCAGCCCTAGTTTGGGGATCTCTGCTTTTGACAGATAAAATGTGTCATGTCAGAGACTGTAATAACCAGTTTAACCGCAGTTTTCCCCTCAACGTCATGTTTTATGTTAGGCATTAGATGTTTACACCATAAATAAAACTTACTGCTTTCAGCCAAACACTAAAAACCATTTGATTTCAAATATATTTTATTTGCAGTCCTCAATAAAAAGCTTTACAGGAATATGATTATGATTTGTTAGCTCAGTATTGTATCTATTTTTAAATTCAGTATAAATCTGTCAATCCGAGTCATACTGATAGATTTACTCTCTACTTCAAGTATTATTTAGGGAAATTGTACATTATTCATTTTTCACTGGGCATATGGTCTTGAAGAAAGCACAAATTCTCCACCAAATGGTACTTAAGTGTAATAAATAAACAGTTATTCAGGTACACATCTGGTAAACAGACAGTGCAGGCCTACAATCATTATTACATGTTTGTAAAACGATTTTTTTTTCACATAAACTTTCAAATAATCTAAATATAGGAAGAATACAGCTCATATTTACTCACATTGATGCGGAAAACGATATTCACAATAGAAAATATCACATTCGTTTTCTTAATATGTAAATACAACTTTAAAAAATACACACTTGTTTATTTACACAGCAAAGTCTACCCATCCAAAACCTTATATTTGTGAATTGTCAAATGAGACCTTTTCATTGGAGAAAATAGTCGTTTCTTCCATATCCTTTGTTAGTTGTCTGCTTCGTAACTGATGATTAATGGTTACCCAACTTGTGTCCCCGTTAGCTGATGTCCTGTGTTGTTTGAGGGCTTGCTGGACAGGTTTAGGGCACTATTACTCTGGTGGATGTCCAGTACAGCGGCTCAGGCATGGCAACATGTTTATGACATGTGGGACAGGTCTGCTTGGTCCACAACCACTCCTCTATACACTAAACCAGAAAAAAAGCACAACATTGTTACGTTTCTACTAGGGATACATGATATTGGAAAAATATATTGCAATAGAGTTAAGAGCAACAGATTCAAAAAGCAAACAGCACACTTGAAATGAACTCTGCACCTTTTATCTACACTGCAAAAAATGCTTTTCTTACTTGGATTTTTTGTCTTGTTATTAGTCAAAATATCTAACAATTCCTAAATCAAGAAGAATTTTCTAGACAAGCAAAACATACTGTCTTGTTTTGAGAAATAATATGCCAATATTAAGTGAGTTTTTCCATAAAACAAGCAAAATAATCTGCCAATGGGGTAAGCAAAATAATCTTACGTCAAAAGAAAAAACAAGATTAATTTGTTTACCCCATTGGCAGATTATTTTACTTGTTTTAAGGAATAACTCACTTAAAATTGGCATTTTATTTCTCAAAACAAGACAATTAGTTTTGCTTGTCTAGAAAATGCTTCTTGATATAAGAAATTTTAGATATTTAGACTAGAAATAAGACAAAAAATCTAAGCAAGAAAAGCATTTTTTGCAGTGTACTCATTGTAATTGGGATAATAAGGGAATAACATCACCCGGCCATGGAATAGCTTAAAAGCCAATTGATCAATTTTGGACACTTAACAAGTGGGAGGCAAATATGCAAACTGTTGTAATTCCTACACCGTTCACCTGATTTAGATGTAAATACCCTCAAATTAAAGCTGACAGTCTGCAGTTAAAGCACATCCTTTGATTCATTTCAAGTCCCTTGTGTTGGTGTATAAAGCCAAAAATGTTAGAATTGTGTTGATATCCAAATATTTATGGACCTAACTATATATATATACTTTTTGATAAATAGTGATATGAATATAGTTTCACAAGAGGTTTTCTTTTTTTTGTTAAGTCTATTTGACAGTTTTCTGTGGAGTCTAAAGGGGGTCACACACCAGAAGTGTCGCTCTGCACCATGCATTTCAGAATTCTAAACATAAGTACACACTGGCGACGCAAGTCGGCAGCTGTGCGCGGAACCGAGCCTTGACTTAGGACACTGTTCATATTTCTGCCGCACCACAGATCGGCATCTGAATAGTTTCATTTAAAACAGCATGCAAATGTGCACGTCTGGTGTGCGATACTTCCAACTGTCATGTGCGCGCCGTGTCGCTAAAAAATATCCTGCTGCAGGCTCGCAGAACCACACACGTTTCAGCACACACAGTCCAGCACACACGATCTAGGCAAACCATATATGGTTACGACGGATGTTAATGTTATTAACGTCTTCTCAGACATCGTCATCAATATAATTTTATATATATTGTTAATAAATATTGTACACAATAAACAATAGTGTTTACTATTTCACAAATATTGAGATCGAGACGGGCGAATGGGGAGCGTTGTTTCCGATCGCCATTCAATATAATAGACTGAACAGTTTTCTATCAGTCATCAAATCAGTCATTATTTATCTGACAGAATCAATATAGCAGATACTTATTTGCTGGTCTTGCTGAACAATCTAAATTGGACAGGTTTCATTTATAAAATGGATTCATTTGTAATGAAGCAATTTATAGCAAGTTAATATAGGCAATAATACATCTTTATATGTAATAAAATCTTTTTACATGTAATAAATGTATAACACTATAATAATATTTTACTCTAGTAATTGAATTTAATTTTTTTAATTTTAATTCGCTTAATTTCTTTTTGTTATTTTATTTGGTTAATTTTTTAATAACTTTTTTATTAATGATTCCCACATTAAATACTATAGTAATTTATAGTAAGCAATAATTTGTTTTTAAACCACAAAGTGCTGATAATTTGTTGTAATTGTAATTATAGTTGCAACAAATTTAGCATTACAAACAAATTAACTGTAAATGATTATACACATGTATATAATTATAATATATATATATATATATATATATATATATATATATATATATATATATATATATATATATATATATATATATATATATATAATTACAAACAGTTGCTACAGTTTAGTAAAAGACACTAGTTTATATTCAGTTAAGGTAATCAGTTTATAACTATATTACATATTGTTTAAATGAGTAACTATAGTAATTCATTTTAATGTGACACATTATTGTTTACTCATTATATTTTACAACAAAGCGATTTAACAAAGTATGATAATATTAAGATCCTGAATTAGTTTATTACACTTAATCCTACAATTAGACGGTCTATTATGTTTTCTTTGTGTATGTGGACACGTGAATAAAGTCATAAGTGTTTAACCAATTATTTTTATTTAAATAATTTGAGTTCAGAAACTGCAGAGATGTTCAAATGATCGTTTCAGTAAAATATTGATATAATGACTGAAATGGGAAACCATATTTGTGAAAGTCAATAGGTGGCGATAATGCTTCTAAGGAGTTAGTTAGTTACCATAAACCAGGGGTCACCAATCTCGGTCCTGGAGGGCCGGTGTCCCTGCATGGTTTAGCTCCACCTTGCCTCAACACATCTGCCTGGGAGTTTCAAGTATACCTAGTAAGACCTTGATTAGCTAGTTCAGGTGTGTTTGATTAGGGTTGGAGCTAAAATCTGCAGGACACCGGCCCTCCAGGAAAAAGTTTGGTGATCCCTGCTATAAATGGTTTGCCTAGATCGTATGCACTAGGTTCTGTGTTCTGCTGGTTCTGCGGGTAAGCAGTTGGATATATCTCCCGTGTCGCGGCGCTGAGTGGCGCACCTGGTGTGTGACGCCATTAAGAGTATTCATGTACAGAAATTGAATAATCAAAATGCAAAAAAAAAAAGCTTGTTTCAAGTCAAATTATCAAAATATTTGTAGATTAAGTAAAAATATTGTTTTGTTTTCAACTTCGGAAGAAATAAATCCACATTTTAAACTTATCAGCCAATGAGGTAATTAAAATAATCTTGCTTTTACTTTGAAGTGTAGATATTTGTACTAAAAACAGCACATAAATCATATAAATAAATGCAATTAATCTTTTGTACAACTGCAAACATCAATATTTTTTAAAATCTCTCTTGAAATGCACAGCCAGAGGCCTGAAAAACACATGCAAATAATAGACTTTCACACTATTCTGGTTAAACTTAGCAGTGGATCCTGGTCATCTATATTTCAGACTCAACATTGCATATCTTGCGATGTGACGATTGCGGATGCAGACATTGCGATATTGATGCTGAAACAATATATTATGCAGCCCTTGTTGTACAGTGCTTTTTCAAAAACACACTGCTCTAAAGCAGCTTTACACTGTGTCTCAATACCCCAGTGAATAAACCACAGGGGTCAAAGGCAGATAGGAAACTCAGAGGAGCAACTCTTAGGAGAACATAAAGGCTCAGTGGCAATAATCGAAATGCAGGATAGATGGTTTTACAGCTTATTAAATATACGCCCTGATTTCTGGGTGATATTTTTTAGGTTTTATTTGGTTTTTGTAGTTAAATGTGGTGATTTCCAGTATTGCTGTCTATGAAGCGTGAGCTCTTACCTCACTGTGGAAGCTGTGGGAGCAGTGAAGCTCTCTGATCACGCCTCCTCCTTTGCGAAGGTCGTCATGGCAGATTAAACACAAACTGTCCGCATCACTCTAAAAAACAAACAACACGTTATATCAGTGGCTTACTTTCTTCGTTTTGATATAATATTTGACCACCGCCATAGAACTGCAATTCTGTTTTGGAGTTTTCTGTTTAATAAACATTTCAATTCTGCTCCATGGGTGAAAAACACTGGATTTTTTTGGGAAGGTTGAGACAAGATGTAAATTTAATGAGACCCCAAAACGAAAAAGCTGTCATCATCTACAGTGTAAATGAAGTGAGTTACTTGACTTGAAGTGAGCGTTTCTTTTAAAACGAATTATGATAAGTTGACTTGATGTTAAGGCAACTGATTGACTTTAATAAAAGTAAATGGATTTCTTACCTTTTAAAAGGTGAAAGCAATTAGTTGACTGGATATTAAAAAATGAGAGTAAACCTGTTGATTTTTATGCAAGTAATTGAATTGGTTGTTAAAATATGAGAAAACACTCTAATTTTAAAGCAAATGGTTGACTTGATTTAAAAAGGTGACTAAACCTGTGACTTTTAAGGTGATAAGTTGACTTGACTTTTAAAAAGTGAGTAAACCACTCGTTTTTAAAGCGCTTAGTTGACTTGATTTTCAAAAACTGTGACAAAAAAATTGTGGAAAATCCTGTTATTGTTATTTCATTGCATTCATTGCTTCTGCATAAGTTGACATTGTTTATAATTTGTTTTTGTTCTATCATTACTTTTTTCTTTCTTTGTAATATTGCCATACCATCCATAAATAAAGTAAAAAGATAGATAGACAGACAGACAGACAGACAGACAGACAGATAGATAGATAGACAGACAGACAGACAGACAGACAGACAGACAGACAGGCAGGCAGGCAGACGGGTGGACGGACGGACGGAGGGACGGACAGACAGATTAAAATATAGGCAGACAAACAGACATAAAAATACAGACAGACAGACAGACAGACAGACAGACAGACAGACAGATAGATAGATAGATAGATAGATAGATAGATAGATAGATAGATAGATAGATAGATAGATAGATAGATAGATAGATAGATAGATAGATAGATAGATAGATAGACAGACAGATAAAAAGACAGACAGACAGACGGACAGACAGACAAACAGACAGATAGATAGACAGACAGACAGACAGACAGATAGAAAGATAGACAGACAGACAGACAGACAGACAGACAGACAGACAGACAGACAGACAGACAGACAGACAGATAGATAGATAGATAGATAGATAGATAGATAGATAGATAGATAGATAGATAGACATATAGAAGATAGATAGATAGATAGATAGACCGACCGACAGAAAGACCGAAAGATAGACATATAAAAATATAGACAGACTGACAGATAGATATAAAGATAGACAGACAGACAGACAGACAGACAGACAGACAGATAGATCAGACAGACAGACAGACAGACAGACAGACAGACAGACAGACAGACAGACAGACAGACAGACAGACAGACAGACAGACAGACAGACAGACAGACAGACAGATAGATAGATAGATAGATAGATAGATAGATAGATAGATAGATAGATAGATAGATAGATAGATAGATAGATAGATAGATAGATAGAAAGATAGGCCGAACGACAGAAAGACCGAAAGATAGACATATAAAAATATAGATAGACTGACAGATAGATATAAAGATAGACAGACAGACAGACAGATAGATCAGACAGACAGACAGACAGATAGATCAGACAGACAGACAGACTGATAGATCAGACAGACAGACAGACAGACAGATAGATCAGACAGACAGACAGACAGACAGACAGATAGATCAGACAGACAGATAGATCAGACAGACAGATAGATCAGACAGACAGACAGATAGATCAGACAGACAGATAGATCAGACAGACAGACAGACAGATAGATCAGACAGACAGACAGACTGATAGATCAGACAGACAGACAGACAGACAGACAGACAGATAGATCAGACAGACAGACAGATAGATCAGACAGACAGACAGACAGACAGACAGACAGATAGATCAGATAGATCAGACAGACAGATAGATCAGACAGACAGACAGATAGATCAGACAGACAGACAGACTGACAGTTGAGAAAACATGAAGAAATTATGTTATCTTATAAGTTTTTACAAATGTAATTGGATTGAACATAAAACAATTATGTTGTCTCATAAAATGTAAGAATTGTGTTGTTTCAACTAATTTTAAAAAAGTTGCTTGAACAAACACCAAACATATTTTTTTGGAGTGTGGATAGCTACTGTAGATCATTTGATTTAAGAGTCTGAAAATACTTGCTTTAACTTTACACTTCAAGTTTTTATCTTTAGGACATATAATTTGTTGATCTTATCTCAAATTTCTCCAGCCTTGACAACACTATCTTATAATGATCTTATCGTATGATTGTGCAACCTATTGGTGATCGTTCACATTTATCACATGTTAAAGAGCAAAATCATTTCACACTAACCATAGACATAACATTGCGGCTCCTAAATCTTGCTTTTCTCTCCAGAGGCTCGTGCACTTCTGGGATGGTAGAGATGGTGTGCGGCTGCCGTTCATATAAGCTGCTCTTGGTGTGTGTGACATCCTCATTTTTGCCAACATGACTGAAACGAGAGCACGGCCGCGCTGCGCTACTCTGGAGACAGTGGCTCAGGAAAGCTGGACTTGGGATCACGGCAGCAGAGTGCGTGCGACTCAGGTGCATTGCTTTCAGCTGAGCCTGGAAAATATGCAAAGTAGTACATAATTATTATTATATTTAAAGAACCTCTTCTTAGTTCATTTGGAATTTGATCTATTGATCTTTTCATTACAAAATTGCATAATATGAAATGAAGACCACAACTCTCATGATGCCATGTTATCATTCAACTACAGCTTTGTTGGTTGTTAAAACACACCCTCTAGTGGTGAAAATTACATACTGTTCCTTAAAGATGTCCAGTAAAATGCAAGTCACAGGACTGGATGATTATTAAAAATGTAGAGTATCTCTCCTAGAAAAACTACAAATATTTGTGTAAAAAAAATTATAATCCAATATTTTTCAGGAATTTTATAATGAGGGAGATAATATTTTGTACAGTGTGTTTGAATACAAATCACCTCTGGGGTTTATTTTTTTATTTATTCATTGAAGAATTTCCTGAATGTTTTGAAATTATGATTAAAACTTAAATATATCAGGATCATGGCGGAACAGTGCATGCAACTCATGTGCATCACATTCAGCTGAGCCTGGAAATTATTCAAAATGGTACATATTGTAATGAAGACCACAACATCCCTTGATGCCACGTCATCATACAGTTACACCTTTGTTGGTTGTGAATACACACCCTCTAGTGGTGAAAATTACATACTGTGCCTTGAAATATGCAGTAAAATGCAAGCCACTGGACTGGATGAATATTTAAAAAAGGGTGAGTATCTGACCTAGAAAAACTTCAAACGTGTGTAAAAAAAGAATAATTCAATCATATTTCCAGAATTTAAGAATGAAAGAAAGAATTTTTTTTTAATGAGTTTGAATAGGACATCGGTGCAAAATGTTATTTAAAAGCTCCTCTGGGCTTTATTTATTTATTCATTTAAGAGTTTCTGAACGTTCTAAAATTATAATGAAAACTTAAATATATCAGGATCATGGTGGTAGAGTACAAGAGACTCAGGCGCTTCGCATTCAGCTGAGCCTGGAAAATATGCAAAATAGAACATTATTATTTTTATATTTGAAGAAAATAATTTTTGTTCACTTGGAAATTTGATCCATCACTTTTTTCATAGCAAAAATGCACAAGATGTAATGAAGACCACAACTCCCATGATGTCACGTAGTCATACATCCACATCTTTGTTGTTTGTGAATACACGCCCTCTAGTGGTGAAAATCACATACTGTGCCTTTATGATGTCTAGTAAAATCAAAGTCAGTGGACTGGATGTTATCAAAAAGGAGTTGAGTATCTCAGCTAGAAAAACTCTTACAGAGTACAGAAATCAGGAATATATCCCATTTCTTATAGATTTCAATATCTTAATGGATATCAATATCTTATAGATATTAATACATTTTTTTAAAACTCTTCCCATACATTGTAAGACTTTATCAACACTTTAGGATTCAATCAGTAACAATGGCAACATTTCAACTTACAGTATATTTACTAAATAATAATTGTGAGAAAATGCTAATACGGCAGGAGAACTGAAGAAATGACGGTGTTGCCTTGGTTACTGCAATAAACAAAGCAGCGTAATGTCAAATCTAGCACATATTATCGGTATTAGCGATTTCAAGAGTTCACACTCAGCTGATGATTGATTATAAAGCTTGTTTGGCATGCTGTCCCGGGAGAGAGCCCGGAGCTCATACAGTAAGATCCTCGTGCCCGGGGCTCCCTCTCGTTTGCATGGCGAGAGGGGAGTTTGAGCTCAGGTAGATCTCGAGAACTCCCCTGCTGTAGTGGCTAATGAACAGATAGGGATTGCTCTTAAAAGATAACTACTTACTAGGTGCATGTCTATAGTGCCGATTTGGATTAGTCAATTAACTTAAGTTGCATGTTTTAGGACATTGGGAGGAAACCGGGGAACCCAGGGGAAACCCACATAAGCACAGACATTTAACATACTATACATTGTATAATCAAAAAATATACAAAATTTAATACCTTGTAAAATAGCATTTAAAACCTTTAAATATTTTAAAGGTCTTAAATGTCTCTAGATTGACTTATCATTTAAAAAAAAACTTTTTAAGACCCAGCTGAAACAACAAACATTTGTAAAATAATTAATTCAATTATTTTAAAAAAATTCATTCATATTAAAAAGTAACACTAGGGTTATTTTGGATTTAAAGAAGAATTTCTGAATGTTTTAATAATTATGATGTAACATCTCCGCTTCAAGACTCCATAATTATGAGTACAATCTGATTAGTCATGTTTTCCAGTCACTTTGAATAGGCTGTGAATGCGAAGTCGTACATATTTTCGAATAATCAATTTTAAAATGCTCAAAATTGATTTCTGATGGAGATGCAGCACACAAAGAAATGCTACTTTTAGCCTGTCTGACTCTATTTTAATCAGTTTTATCCAAACGCTGGAAGGTAATTTAGGGATAAACTCCTCTTAAGAGTTTGGATTATGCAAACGTTGTCCTGCTTTGATCTCTGATACCTCTAACCTGTAAATAAAAGCCAACATTTTGCATTTTTCCCAGCTGTGAGATACAAATTTTTGATGCATAACCTCACAAGTGTTTATTTTTCTATTGAAACATATAACAAGAACTCATAATAAGTTGGTTGTTTATGCATTGAAGTAATTAATTTCTATTTAATTGTCATGTGTTTCCTTTGCTAAACAAATGTAAAATACAATAACTTTTTTTAACTTTATTCAATTGCAAGCACATGTTTTACAATTATGCCAATTAAGTATTGTTTTAAAAAAAATATCTCCTTCCTTTATTACTGTAATTGTGTCCAGCACCAACACACACTCAAAATAAAAAAACATTCACACAAATAATTTAATTTAACAAGACCATTTATACATATCAACGCCTCTACGTACAACGAAAGACAAAATGATTAGCCCTTCTATGAAATGTTCATTCTTTAAAAAATATTACCCAATTGCTGTTTAACGAACAGATTTTTAAAACACATCTTCAAACAAAAATGTATTTTGTCTCTTTTCATGATGACAATACATAACATTTTACTACTTATTTAGCATGATAGTATTCAGCTTGAAGTGCAATTTGAAGGTTTAACTAGGTTAATTAGGTTAACTAGGCAGGTTAGGTTAATTAGGAAAGTTATTGGATAACAGTGGTTTGTTCTGTAGCCAATCGGATAAAATAATTACTCAAGGCGACTAATAATATTGACCTCAAGAGTTTTTCTTAAGTGCTTATTACATGCAGACTGAAAGAAATCTTTCTCCAGAAGAAAAAATACTGTGAAAATTTCAAACTCTGTTAAACATCACCTGGGAAATTATTTTTTACAAATAATGATGTTGACTTAAACTCTGTGTAAAATAGAAAAAGGAAAAAAACACTAAAAGACAGAAACAAAATAATAAATAACTACATGCAAATCATTTGAGTACTTTCAAGGAAAGCTACTGTAGAAATGTAAAAAATAAAAATTTGAATAAACGTCCTTATAAATACATCCAATGTAAAACCCAAAAGTCAACTTTGTCAAATGAAATGAGTGTAACTCAACATTGATTAAATAAAAGTTAATTCTACTCATTTGAAAAGAGTTTTGAGCTTAGTGTTGAAGGTAATGAGTTAATTAAATACCTCATTACTTTAACTTAAATGGAGTAAGTTCACTACTCATATAGATTAGGTTTTTTATTTTATTTTATTTTTTTACTCAAATTGGGTTTGTAGCAATCGGTTTCCTTAAACAGTTTGAGTTGCCTTAACTTATTGGGTTGTACAGTACTCAGTTGGTTTGAGTTCTCTTTTTATTATTATTATTGGGTTTTACTGTGCTCAAATTGGGCGAGGCAGTGGCGCAGTAGGTAGTGTTGTCGCCTCACATTGAAGTGAGTCGCTGGTTCGAACCTCGGCTCAGTTGGCGTTTCTGTGTGGAGTTTGCATGTTCTCCCTGCCTTCGTGTAGGTTTCCTCCGGGTGCTCCGGTTTCCCCCACAGTCCAAAGATATGCGGTACAGGTGAATTGGGTAGGCTAAATTGTCCGTAGTGTATGAGTGTGTGTATGAATGTGTGTGTGGATGTTTCCCAGAGATGGGTTGCGGCTGGAAGGGCATACGCTGCGTAAAAACTTGCTGGATAAGTTGACGGTTCATTCTGCTGTGGCGAGCCCGGATTAATAAAGAGACTAAGCCAACAAGAAAATTAATGAATGTGCTCAAATTGCTTCGTTTACTCAAACATATTGAGTTTTTAAACTTAAATGATTTGTTGTAATTGGTTTCCTCAAATGGTTTGAGTTACCTTAACTTATTGGGTTTCACATTGTACATAAAATAAGAAAACTGATTTTTTAAAGAAAATTATATTGTAATTTTATATGTGAAATACTACTCATATTAAGAATAAAAAAAAAAATCACAAAATAAATATACAAAGGATATTCAAGCCATATACACAATAAAAAATGCAGGGTTGAACCCAATTCATTCATGTTGTTCAAGTGAATTGAGTTCAAGTTAATGTAACTCATTTAAGTAGAGTAAACATAAAACTATGAAGTCCCATAATTAACAATAATAAACATAATTCCTTCATATTGTCCCAACACAAATCGATTAATTTAACTTCATCATTTTTATACATTTAAGTGGATTCAAACATAAATCAATTAGGTCGTCCCAAAAACAACTTAAGAATTGTGTTGTTTCAACTCATTTTAAATATGTAGATTTAACAAGCAGTAATAAATGACTTTTACAACTTGTTCAAACTACTTATTAAATTCAATTCATGTTTATTTCTACAGCACTTTTACAATGTAGTGTCAAATCAGCTTAACATAGAAGTTCTAGTAAACTAAAACTGTGTCATTCCAGTTTGTTCTTATTTAAAATGAGTTGAAACAACACAATTCGTAATGTTTTTTTAGGACAACTTAAATGTTTTATGTTCAATCCACTCAATTTTTTTAAAGGCTTAACTTAATTGATTTGTGTTGGGACAACATGAAGTAATTGTGTGGAACCCAGCATTTTTTTACAGGATTGTGTACTCACCGGGCATGGAAGTGAAGCCCTGCGACTGGCCAGCGATCGACTCGGTATGGGGATATCCCAGCTGCTCTTCCTCTCGGCCTCCGGCTCCTCTTCCTCTTGTTCGTCTTCCTCCTCTTCCCCCTGCTCCTCATCATCTTCTCTCTCTTCATATTCTCCTGGAGTTGCTGTAAAGATTTCATCATCCTCTTCCTCTTTCTCCATGTTAAACAGTCGTCTTCAAACTCTGAAACAAACACATCTAATAGGGAAAGAAAAAGCCGTGGGCAGTGGCTTGAGACTGGACGGGCCTAGGATTGCTGATTAAGCCTCTGTAATTAGATCCCCTGGTTTTCTTATCCCATCTGTTTCCTCTGCGGCTCTAAGCCTCACAGAGACCTGTGCAGGCTCCCTTAACTCCCGAGTAATCTGTTTAGGAGAAAGGTGGGGACTTGAGAGAGTGAAGGGAGGGGATTCTTCAAGTGCTCTGGAAGCATCTTGTTCTGGGTCTGTTAAGAATATTCTAAAGTGCACACTATAATATGATGGATTCCTGAAAAACTGGGCAAAATGACATCTAGGTCAGTCACCAGATAAATAATTTGTATTATGAGATACATATACAGATACAGTTGAAGTCAGAATTATAAGCCCCCATTTGATTTTTTTTTTTTTATTATTTCCCAAATGATGTCTAACTGAGCAAGGAAATTTTCACAGTATTTTCGAAAATATTTTTTCTTCTGGAGAAAGTTTTACTTGTTTTATTTCGGCTAAAATAAAAGCAGTTCTTAAAAAAAAAAAAACATTTAAGTCAATATTATTAGCCCCTTTAAGATATATATTTGTTCAATAGTCTACAGAACAAACCATTGTTATACAATAACTTGCCTAATTACCCTAACCTGGGGAATTAACCTGGTTAAGCCTTTAAATCTCACTTTAAGCTGTATAGAAGTGTCTTGAAAAATATCTAGTAAAATATTATTTACTGGCATCATGGCAAAGATAGAATAAATCAGTAATTAGAAATGAGTTATTAAAACTACTATGTAAAATAAACGGGGGCGGGGGGTAATAATTCAGGGGGGCTAATAATTCTTACTTTAACTGTACCTCCTGAAGGAGTTAAAATTCTACATTACATTCTACAATTTTACATAAGTAGTTTGAACGAGCCTCAAATAATTTTTTGAGCATGGGTCACTCTCCTTATAAAATTATTTCAGTATTTTATTTTTTTACAGAATTGTACTTTAAATATATGGTGTGACAGTAAAAAATTAGTAAAACAGCTTTTAAAAAAATTCAAATATTGTGAAAGTGATTTTAGTTATTTAGTTATTTTCCTCCATGACTTGTTAGACTTTTTGCTCATTTTCAATAAATAGGGGTGTCACACTAAAGGAAAATAAAACATTTTTTTTTTTAAAACTTCTGAAAAAATTAAATATGTGAACAATTCTGAAACAAAAACAGGTCATGGTGCTTCACAGTAGGCTTCAGTCAAAACATCTTCAGTGGTGTCCTTCAACTATTTAAGTTTTTCATTAAATTACCTGATTTAAAATTACCATTTAGCGTCACACCAGCATCGTTTTATGTTACAAAACGTATCAAGTACTTGTGATTTTATATATACTGTACGGAAGAAAAAAAAGATCACTTACTAAAAGTCACTTGATTGATTTTCTTTTTAGTTCAGGGTGGCGCAGTGGGTACCACGATCACCTCTCAGCAAGATGTTCACTGGTTTGAGCCCCGGCTGGACCAGTTGGCATTTCTATGTGGAGTTTGCATGTTCTCCCTTGTGTTTGTGTGGGTTTCCTCTGGGTGCTCCGGTTTCTTCCACAGTCCAAAGATATGCGGTTAAGTGAATTGAATAAGATAAATTGGCCGTAGTGTATGTTTGTGAAAGAGTGTGTATGGGTGTTTCCTAGTGTTGGGTTGCAGCTGAAAGGGCACCGCTGCTTAAAACATATGCTGGATAAGTTAGCGGTTCATTCCGCTGTAGTGACCACTGATGAATAAAGAGACTAAGCCAAAAAGAAAATGAATGACTGGTTTTCTTTTTTATTTATAGGAGCTAAAATTTACTGTACTATGCTTGAGAAAGTCACACCATAGAATAGTTTTGAGATTTGTCTGAAAAAAGAAATAACAGCAGTTTTTAATAACAAGAGGTTCATCGAAGACAAAGCAATGTTTAACCATTTACCACATATTAAATTAAGACAAAAATAATTATATAATTTTTTTGTCATATGTGACTGCGTAAATACAACGTCACATCTATAAATAATTCACATCTACAAATAAATGTATAATTTTATATACAATATGTATACGGGTGACACAGTGGCGCAGTAGGTAGTGCTGTCGCCTCACAGGAAGAAGGTTGCTGGGTCACTGGTTCGAGCCTCGACTGGGTCAGTTGGCGTTTCTGTATGGAGTTTGGATGTTCTCCCTGCGTTCGCGTGGGTTTCCTCCGGGTGCTCGGTTTCAGAAACTGCTGATCTACTGGGATTTTTACGCACAACCATCACTAGGGTTTACAGAGAATGGTCCGAAAACATGAAAATATCCAGAGAGTGGCAGTTCTGTGGGCGCAAATGCCTAGTTGATGCTAGAGGTCAGAGGAGAATGGCCAGACTCGAGCTAATAGAAAGGCAACAGTAACTCAAATTATCAATCGTAGGTATGGTAAGGTATGAACCTCGAGGCAGATAGGCTACAGCAGCAGAAGACCACACCAGGTGACAACGGGAGATTTGCATTATGAATGTGCAGCGACAAATCTGTAACAACTGCATGATGCTATAATGTAAATATGGACCAATCTCTCTGAGGACTATTTCCAGTACCTTGTTGAATCTATGCCACAAAGGATTAAAGCAGTTCTGAAGGCAAAAGGGGTTCTAACCCGGTACTAGTAAGGTGTACCTAATAAAGTGGCCAGTGAGTGAATATTACAACATTTTAAAAAGTCAGAAGAAATGTCACAGAATAAAACACTAGAAATCTTCAAATGGTCTCATAAATTCTTCTCATGGTTATAAACAAAACATATTGTAACACCGGAGTGTGTTATACAAAAAAATACTATTTTTGTCTATTTATAATTTACTTACAGTTTTTTTTATGATCTACACTCAAATTCACTAGCAATTTCTGATTAATTAAAAACAAGCTTACAAAAAATAGCTGTTTATTTACATCATATACACCCTACTGTACATAAACACATACAAACAGGAGTGTGAAAGGCATCAGTGAACGGGATTATCATTTAAGTAGATACTATAAATGTTAAGCACCTTATAGAGTGCACCCACAGGGGCCGTCTAAAATTAGACCCCCGCAGATACATGTGTTGACATGGACCGAAAAAGCCCAACAGTGTCAACAACATACAAAGTCATGACAGGACATTAGATGCTACTAAAATTTAGCGTGACTCATTGTACAGGTAATGCTATCTACTCATTACTCAGCCACTTAGTCTTTGATTATGTGAATCCGCCATTTCTATTTTAGTAAAGAAAAGTAGAAAACTAGATATTCGACATTTCCAGTAACAGTGAGGTTTAAAGTAACATTATTTTTGAGCTATTTAACTGTTAAAGTCTGAAACAAAAATGAAACCTAAATATCGATTACCAATAGATGGCAGCATTGTACAATTTTCCCCGCCATGATAGTTTAGGGACTGTCGTAAAATAAATATAGGTGATTGATATGTAAACACTGAGAAGTAAACATTCTAAATATCAAAAAATGTGTAATTATATTGTAATAAAGACGCTACATTTTTATGTAACACATTTGAAGAGTAAAACCTAAATGCCATCTGCCATTTTCTTCTAAAATTAGCATGTTTCTTAGCCTCCAATGTTAATGTTCAGTTATTTAAATAATTTATTTAAAAGTAATGACAATATGCTGTTCTTTGTCATAAATTTAAGTTACTGGACCTACACAAGGTGAAAAAATGCTTATTTCAGAAGAACATTTCATATTTAGAGGCTTTTTTGCAACTCTTCACCACACTACAACGTCATTTGCTGTGTATTTATGGGTCAAGCCTCTATTTGATTGAGTCCGATAACCAGCTGGGTGAATTCACTGCCGAAAATCCCAACAAAATCTGCACAGATGATGTTAAGGCATGCTTGGCCTGAGCCTGGCCGCTGTTGTTTCACCCACTTCATAAGCAGACTGTAGGAACGTCGGGTCATGCTTTGCAATGATTGGCAGGGATGACAAAGTACATACCGAGCATCCTCAGTTAGGTTCAGGCCAGCAGCAAAAAACTGACCTGAAAACAAATTCAGGGGCAGTTATTAAGAGAAACATCTTTTTTTTTTGTCTCACTGTAATTATTTGGTGTAATTTTATCTGACTACAACAGACAGTTTTGAAAAAGCAAAAATGATTAGTTTCCTCCCTAGAGAAACTGATTTTTAAGGGTCATCTAATAATAATACTATTTTATACAATATTATTTAATAATAATGCTGTTTATTATTTTAAAAAAAACATGCTTAAAGGAATAATTAAACCCAAAAATAATAAACGTAATCACATTCATTATTTACTCTCTCTCTCATGTGGTTTTAAACGTTTATCAGTTTCTTTCTTCTGTTAAATACGAAAGAAGATATTTTGAAGAATGATGGTTGCTGGGACTGGTTGATTTCCTACGAAAAAAGATTACTATGGAAGTCAATCAACCAACATTAGTGTTGGAATGGATCACATTATGGCTTATGGTCAAGGATGAGCAGAGGAGACAAATGTAATTTGCTTTCCATTTGTTACAAAAACAGTACTGCAAGAATTTTCTGGTTTTAACAAACAGAACTTAGAAGCTGTAATTTATATAATAAATTCTTAAAAATAAATAAATAAAAATATATTAAAAAAGGAAGAAATAATCAGCTGAAAAAAGTAATAGTAAAATATTCAGTAATGTGAAAAAAAATCACTGTTACTACTACTGTTGCCAATAACACTAAATCGAGAATTATAATTTGCTTAATTCATAATTAATTTGAGTCTCATTTTCAATAAATGATTTAGTGATTCACTCATAAAACTTCATGTTTCATTGCTGGATGGATTAATCTTTGAAGAATTATTCAGTGGCATATTTTTGAAGCCTGGCAACCTAGTTTTTTGAGTGTCAAGCTAAATGAGTATGACAGTGATTTTAATCTTTACTATAAACACTTGTGGTTTTATCTAAACTATAAACTGTTATCCCAGTACTTCTGTGTTGTTTGTCTGGTTGTAACTTCATATCCAATTCAAAAGACTAAAGACTCGATCTCTTTCTTGATTTTTGCGTTTTTCAAACACAGATTTGAACGCACTATGACTATTGAAACGATTAATGAACATATGCTAATCACTATCATTTATAATTTGTGTTGTGTGGGTGTTGAGATCCCGATCTTTTAAGGCTTAATTGTGCAGCTTACACTGAATACATTAATGCAGTCTAAACAAGTAGTGACAGAAAACTCTTAAGAAACCCACCACATCCTGAATAACCTACCGCAACTTCTTCCGTCAATATTATATTTTACAGAAAAGC